CCCACCCACCCCCCGAAAAACGGTTTACAGGGAAGTGGAGGAGCAGGTTACTATTTTACAAAGAGTTTTCAAAGATGGCCTCTATTGTGAAGTTACACCTGAGTAGAAAGTTAACGAAGAGAAAGTACAGACTATTCAGAATTCTGGATGAAAAATGTTTAAGAAGAAGAATGAGCAAGTACAAAGGCACTAAATAAGGGACATGCTTGGTATATCTGATGAACAGTAAGATCTGTGTGTCCAAGGATTATAAGTGATGGGAAAGCGGTAAGGGGCCAAATTAGACAGGACAAGGTAAGTAAGGACACTCATTAGTCTTTATTCTAAGATGAGAAATCACTGGAGAGTTTTCAGCAGAAGAATAACAAAATCTGATTAATGTTTTAAAAGGATCACTCTGACTTCTTAATGGAGAGTAGACTGGAGTAGGGCAAAAACAGAATCAAGATCAGTTAGGAAGGAATTGAAACAATTCATGTGAAAAATGATACAGATATATTTTGAGGGTGCATCTGACAGGATTTGCAAATGGAGTAAATACAAGATAACTGAAAGAAAGGAATCAAGGATGACTCCAAAGTCTCTGGCCTGAGCCCCTAGGAAAAGAATGGTCATGAATACTGGTACATACATGTAAGAATGGAGGAGAATCTGGTTTAGGGTGGGTGTGAGGATGTAGATGGCTGGAATCAAGAGTTCTGCTTTTGCGCCTGTTCAGCTGTCAATGACTTTAAGACATTTAAATGATAATGTTGAGTAGACAAAACTCTGGAGCACAGAGGAGACACCAGCATTAACCATAGAAATTTTATATGGCCTACTCAGGGGAAATCATAAAATTCTGTAGAAGACAATTTAACTGTCAAAATCCAATCTCAATATTTAAAGGAAAAGATGGAGAAACCTGGTTACTTGACCTCTTTGAGATCACCTAGCTGGGTAATAGAACCAGAACCAGGATTTCTCTCAAAGCCCATGGCATATATAGTTGGAGAGATAATATCTCTAAAACCCAAATAGTCTTAAACTGCAAAACCATTTAACAAAGGTAAAAAACACTGAAAACTACTGCTAAATTTTATGAAAATTTAAAAACATGTTCTAAATAACTTATTAAAACTAGATTTTTCTGCACCGAGGTACAGAAAAAACCATTAACGTTTAGCTCTGTGGAATTTTCAAGCCACATGGCATGACTCTGGTACCTTTGAATATCCCTGTGAAACACATCAGAATAGCCTCCTCATTAACTGATAGAGTCTAGTCTGTACATCGCTCACTCCAGGGACGGGGAGGTGGCAAATAAGTTTCATCTTGTGACAATTAAAAATAATTTGGAATGGCTGCCAGGATCACTGCCTTGAAAAGCATTCTGGGGTCACTCCAAGATCCACAGGAAAAAGTACTGTGATCAACAAGAAATATGCACTAGATGGGAGGAGTGTAGGTATAAGTGCTGTGTACATGGCATTCTGGCAACTAAGAAAATCTCTAAAATTTAACTAAGAATGCTATTATGGTTATGCTTTTGCTATTGGCTTTCATTCAAAATTAGAAGTATGGTCATATGCAAATAACTATCTTAAAGATACACAAATTAGTATTTCAAACTTAAACATTCATACATGTACAGCGTTTTTAAAAGTTTAAGTAGTTTTGCCTTTTGCTGGTTAGTAACAAAGTCAGAATCTAATTCCTGGTCTTCCTGAAATTCTTAGATAGACAGGAACCAAAACAGACCAAAACAGAACCAAAGCAGGGACAAAAGTCTCCAGACTATAAATTTCTAAGGCCCCTTCACTTCTCTCTCCACAGAAATGGTTCAGATAATGCTTAAAGATCTTTGAAAGACCACCAAGAGTATGGTATGCATTGTTAATGGAACTGTCAAGGAGGTGTCTGGGATTCCACTTGATCCCCAAAGGCCTGATCTAGGGCAGTTTTCTAATCTCCTTGTAACAATTACAATATAGAGGAAAGATCTAGAGGGTCAAAGGGAAAATTTCCCTTGTCTGCTCACCTAATTACTAGGGGAGCTAATATGGACTTACAATTCTTTTTCTTTTAAGTGTTACATTTTTAAAAAATCATATTTCAGTCAACCAAAATATAGAGAATTATACCTGTTTACTCACTGCCTAGATTAATAACAGAATTTTACAAGTATAATTGAAGCTCCCTATGTACCCCTCCCCAATCATACTTTTCTCCCTCCCTCATTTCAAATGAAAACCACCGTAGTAAACTAATTTATGTTCTTGAAATTTTTTTCAAAGAAACGTATAACCAAAGGATACGTGAGGGGAAAATACATTATTCAAAAATAAAATAGAGAAAAAATTGAATTACTTTTTAGATGTTGAATTCAGTCCTGCAGGAGTAGATGGTTGTTCAGGATCCTGGTTAACAAGGCAAGTTGGAAAGGAGCAGCCATCACCTAGACTATAATTAAAATCAGAACTTACAACTGAGCAATTAAAAAGACAGCAGTGAAACTCTGCTAAAGTGCTGATGTCTGCGAGCAGAACATAGTTATATTATGGACGAAACCCGTGTATCAGACACTGGTTTCAATATAGTATGTTTAGGGAGATAAGTTAACAAATTTCCCGTTGATATAATAGTAAATCATAAAATAATTGTTTAAGAAATAATTAGAGTTTCTATGCAGAAATAATTAGAGTTTCTATGCAGAATTATAGGGTTCTTTTGTTGGATTACTCTCATTAGTTTAAAACCTTAAAACTTCACAATAAAGTACCTTGAAAAAATGGGTAGCAACCAATACTTCTTCTCATCACCAAAAACTTGTCGCATATTTTTACTGAAACCCAAGCTGAATCCATTCTTATCTGTTCCATGTCGAAATACTGGACTTCTAAATGCCTCTATAAAAGACAGTAGAGCAATCACATGATTAAAGAATAGATCAACTAGTAACTCGTATATTTAGAAGTGATTGAATGAAACGAGGTAACTCGAAAATGAATGGCTAGCTCCCTGTGAATACTTAATGTGCCTACCAACAGCTCTGCAGTATAGATTGTTTATTCTATTTTAAAACAATCACAGGATATGATTAAATTTTTAAGTAATCTTTTAATTATTATTAGCAACACATATGCATTGCAAAAAATTAGAAAACACAAACAAGCAAATAAGTTTAAACTTTACATCCTCTAGATCTTTTATAGATAGATGGGTGGATGGATGGATGACTGGATTTAGATATATACAAATCTACAGTTTTTTAACCAAAATTAGACTATACATACATTCTACAACCTGCTTTTTAGTCCATCAGTTCCATTTTCCAATTTCATTAAAATTTTATCTTATCCAATCATACCTTTTTTCCAGCTAACCAAAAATGTCCTTTAAAGCTGGTTTGTCCAAACCAGGATCTACTGCAGATTATACATTGTATGTGGTTATGCTCACTGTACATGTGGGAGCTGCAGTTGCCGTATTTGAGGTCCTGAAGATTTATCCTTATGTTTTCTTCTAAGACGGTTACAATTTTAACTCTTTCTGTTAGGTCACTGAACCATTTTCAGTTTATTTTTGTATATTGTATGAGGTAGAGGTCCAATTTCACTCTTTTGCACATAGATATCCAGTTGTCCCACCACTGTCTGTTAGATACTATTTTTCCCATTGAGTGGTCTTGGTACCCTTGTCGAAAATCATTTGGCCAAAGACGTTTAATTTTAATTGGACTCAAAATTCTATTCCATTGTTCTATGTATCTTTGTCCTTATGCCAGTACCACACTGTTTTGATCACTATAGATTTGTAGTAAGTTTTGAAAAGAGTAAGAATTTTGTTTTGTTTTTTGGTGGATGTCTTTTCACTACTTGGGGCCCTTGAAATTCCATGAATATGAGGATCAGCTTTTCTATTTCTGCAAGAAAGGTCATTGAAATTATAATAGGAGTTGTACTGAATCAGAAAATCTCTTTGGGTAGTATTGCCATCTTAACAATATTACATTTTCTAACCCATAAACGGAAGTCTCACTATTTATTTAGATCTTCTTTAATGTTGTTCAGCAACGTTTTGTAGTTTCACTACACTAGTGTTGCACCTCCTTGGTTAAATTTATTCTTAGGTATTTTACTATTTTGGATACTATTGTAAATGGAATTGTTTTCTTAATTCTTTTGGGACAGTTCATTGCTAGTGTATAGAAATACAACTGATTTTTTTTCCATATTTATCTTGTTATGAAAATTTGCAGAACTTGTTTATTAGCTATTAAAAAAACTGTTTTTATCGTGCATTCTTTAAGGTTTTTATACATAAGATCATATCATTTATTTTAAAAACACAGTTTTAATTCTTCCTTTCCAATTAGATGCTTTTAATTCTTTCTCTTGGCTAATTTCTCTGACTAGAATTTGCAGTACAGTGTTAAAAGCAGCAGTGAAAGAGGGTATCCTTGTTTTGTTCCTGATCTTAAGGGGAAGATTTTCATTTTTCACCATTGAACATCATATTAGTTGTGGGGTTCACACAAAGCTCTTTATCAGGTTGAAGAATCCCTCGTATCCCTAGTTTGTTAGGGGTTTTTATCATGAAAAGGTGTTGTATTTTGTCAAATACTTTTTCTGTATCAGTTGCGATAATGATGTGGTTTTCCCCTTCATGTAATTAATGTGATATATTACCATTGATTGATTTTTGCATATCAAACCAACCTTGCATTCCTGGGATAAATCTTACTTGGTCAGGGCATATAGTCCCTTTAATATGCTGCTGGATTTGGTTTGCTAGTATTTTATTGAAGATTTTTGCATCTATATTCATAAGGGATATTGGTCTGTAGTTTTCTTTCCTCGTGCTGTCTTCCTCTGGCTTTGGTATTAGTGAAATGCTGGCCTTATAGGATGTTAGAAAGTGTTTCTTCTCTTCTAATTTCTAGCAGAGTTTGAGAAGAATTGGTTTAATTCTTCTTAAATGTTTGGTAGAATTCATCAGGGAAGCCACTTGGTCCTGGGCTTTTTCTTGTTGGGAGATTTTTGGTTACTGATTTCAGTCTCCTTACTTGTTATCATCTATTCGGGGTTTTTTTTTTTTTAATTTCTTTGTAGTCTGATCAGCAGTTTGTGGGTTTCTAGAAATTTGTACATTTCATCTAGGTTACCTAGTTTTTAAATATACAATTGTACGTGGTATTCTCATAATCCTTTTTCATTTCTATAAAGATTATAGTCATTTCATTTCTGATTTTCATGATTTGAGTCTTCTCTTTTTTCTTTCTAGCTATAGGCTTGTCAAATTTGTTAATATTTTTTAAAAAACCACTCACTGATTTCATTGATCTTCTATTTAAAAATTTTTCTATTTCTGTTATCTCTTCTCTAATCTTTATTATTTCCTAACTTTTGCTGGCTTTGGGTTTACTACTTTTTATAGTTCCTTAAGGTATAGAGAAATTACAGATATTTCTTCTTTTTTAATGTAAGTATTTATAGTTTTATATTTCCCTCTAAGTGCTGCTTTTGCTGCATCTCATCTCTGTATGGCCTTTGAATATACCGTTTTCTCTGCTGGAGATGTGCTGGCCCTTACATGACTGAATTCTTAGGTTAAATACATTTTATTTTGGTGAGCTCTTCCCTGACCACTCTATCTAAATAGGTTCCCGTCTACCATCCTCAACTCTTTATGCATACTTCAGCATCTTGTTTGTCTCCGTTAAAGTACTTCACGTTTTGTAATTACTTTTACGTTTGCTTGCTGATTTTCTGTGCCCCTCACTAGGCTGTTTTGCCCTTGCTCACCACTAAATATATGCAATACAACAAACTATCAATAAATATATGCAATGAGTGAATTGTTTGTGTCTAAGTCACATCCCACAAAACAATGTAGGAAATAAGAATAATTTTTACCACTTTAGAACAGGTTGGCATTTAATAATCTGGCAACTTTTGATGATTAACTCTTTATGTATTTAAAATTCTGTTAACTACAATAATTGGATACTCACCTAATGTAGATTTATTTTTGCTGACTAGCCAACAATGATAGCCAAACAGAGAAGACAAGCTGACAGAAAACATAGCTGCAGCAAAGAATAAAAACATAATATGGAACTTGGCTTGAGTATCAGGTAGACCATTCTATAAAAAAAGGAAGAAAATAAAATGTTTTGTCAAAGGCCTAAGTATTCCCCTACTTTTATAAGTAAGATTTATTTCTTTGCTTAAAATTTTTCTTAAATTTAGATATGGAGAAAGATACATGGCTTTATGTTAAATTTTTGAGAAAAAATATATTGCATCAGATTAAAATAAATGTTTACCTGAATATAAATATATATGGAAAAGATATTCAAATTTGGGATATTTATTTTGTTTTGTATAACTGAATCATAGAAACATTATGGTAGTATGGTAGTATGTGTATAAACTATAACAGGATCTATAAAATATACTTTTGAATTTACTACCTGAAAATGTTTTAACATACTATAGATTTATAAATAGTTTTATCGAAATGCCAGGAAATAAGGATAAATGGGCACAACTTAGCTACTATACTCATTGATGTTTTACATTACTACAAACAACACCACATACAAGAACACATATAACACATCCACAATAATGCTTCAAGCTATTTCAAATAACAACATCACAGAAAAGATAAACACTAGAACGTAACACCTGTCTAAAATAAAACTTACACCACCCATGAGATAAAACAGGCCATCTCAAAGCAAAACCAGTTTAACTTTCATTATATGTATTTTCCTAGGGACCTGTGCTTGCTCTAGAATGGCAGGTTTGGGCTTATGGATACTTAGTGAAGCAACAGAGCTACTAGGAGGTGTCCCATTCTGAGAGAAGATCACACTGTTTCAATATTCTGTGGTATCTGTCAGGCTGACACAGGTCACAAGATCTTACTGACAGCTTTTGACAACAGAGTCCTCACTGTGTAAACTATGGTCATTCTTTTACAAATATATTTGTGGTTGGAACTATAACCACCCACAGGAATGAAGAGCAGTGAGTTGACAGGCTCTCAGACATTCATTAGGGATTATTCTTCAGGCTGGACACTGGAGTGTACTTGAATGCTAGGAGCACGTCCATGCACCTGTGTATTCCTAGTGCTTGGCAATGTAACAGGGACACAGCAGGTGCTCAATAAATCTTTAGTAATGAATGTGGTTCAAATCTCACATAAATGATCTAGAAATTCAAAAAGTCTTACCATAATAAAGGATAATTTTGTGAAAAAAAAAAAATAAAGCAATCCTCGCAAGGAATAACTGTTTTCTACTATTGCATGGTGGTGTTCATGAGGAATATCTTTAGATATTTAAAATACTTAATTTTAATTCCATTTTGCTTACATTTAAAATAGCGCAGAAAACAGATAAGCTACCTAAAGTCTAATCAAGCCATACCTACTAAAATTCAAGATGTTATATAGTTTTTTTAAAAAAAACCTTTTTATACATAAACACTTCTATTTCAAACACTAAAAAAAGAAATCTTCTTATACAATCAATTCTTGTTATTGCAGTGGTTGTGTTCTATAAAGTTGCCATGAACACTCAATTTGTGAATAGTGAATCATTTCTCCTAGGGAAAATACAGGGTTAGGTTCCTGTATTTTCCTGCGAGCTTCTAGTTACAACATTGACTCCTGTGTGTTTTTTGCTTAAAGACATCTTATTAACATCTTATTTGATACATACTGTTGATTCATTAACATAGAACTCAATGCCCAACATCACTATAACCCATTCCTGAAAGAAGCTTATCTAATACATGTATTTTCTCCAAAAAGCATACCACAGTCTTCTTTTGCTCAGAAACACCAGACAGTACTTCAGCACTATGCTTGAAGATCATTTCAAACAGCGAAATCACCAACAAAAAGCACAAAAATGCAAAATACAGGGCATTAAATAGACTGAAAAGCATTCTTGTTTAACAATATGAGAGTTAAACCAAGAAGGCAAAGTGTTGCCTTGTTTGATTTCTACTGGGCATGCGCACATGGAGCAATGCAAATATATGGCCGCTCTGTTCATGTCTGCAATGACCACAAAAGCTCTGTGAGTATTGATTTGGGGTTACAGATAAATTTTAGCAAGTTGGTGAATTCGCAAATACAGAATCTGCAAATAGTGAGGACTGACTATATATAATGAGTTCTAGTTTATAAAATTAGTGTCAGAAATAATTCACTAAAACATATATTTTTGTATAGCAAAAAAAAAAGTCAACAAGGTAATGACTTACTGTCCAGAATTTGATAAAATACTGTAAATCTGTAGCAGCAATAAAAAGGCAGTACAGCAGAGAATAAGCCAAGAAAAGAAGGAAAAATTTATAATTTGAAAATCCAACACAATTGTTCACCCTGTTAACAAAACAGAAACAACATTTTCGATGAGTTTTACATTTTTAACTTAGATATACATATGCTCAACCTTAACAGTGTTTGGTTTCCTATCATTGGAAAGTATTGGCATGTCTTCAGGTACAATTCATCAGATTTCTTTATACATATAAACATTAAAAATTCCATTTCAGTGAAAAGGAACTTCTGTGTTTAGATTTTTAAAATTTGACAGGTAGTACTGCTTTACTCAGTCATGAACCATGTAACTATACAGTGACCTTTCAGCAACACAGGGTTGAACTGCGCAGGTCCATTTATATGTTTTTTGTTTTTATTTTTCAATAAATATACATTCAGCCTCTGTATCCCCAGGTTTCATATCCATGATTCCACCAATATTATATTATAATCTTAAAATTTTGTTAAAAGGGTAGATCTCATGTAAATGATTTTACCACAATAAAAAAAAAAAATTATTAAAAAATTTAAAGATAGGGTCGCTCCCCAGTGTAGTGGTTAGCACGTCTGCTTTACATGCAGAAGGTCCTGGGTTCACGCCCCCGGTGGAGCCGCAGACCATACCCCGGGTGCGCCAGACCCCGGGCGCACCCAGCAAGCGTGTGGGAGGAGACGCCCTGCCTTCAGAGATCCAGTTCTTAAGGGGAAAGGGCAACATCTATAGGTCAGGGGTGGAAGTGGTGGGGGGGTGAATTAAAAGAGGGGGGAAAAAATTTAAAGGCAAAAATTTACTTGGCTTATGAATAAACTGGAAATTGGGGTGAGGGAAGGAAGAAAAATGTTTATATTTTCTATCTCAAATAATATAAGGCCAAAGGAATAGCATTAGGTTTAGTAATTTTGGAACTTGAGGGTCTTAAAATAAGCCAAAAATTGTGGATGCACATTGTATGAAAGTTATATTTGCAGCTCCAAAGATTCCACTGTGAATGCAAACCAATTACTGAGATTGTCTTTTATGAATCTGAATGAAATAATGGCAATAAATAATATTGAAAAAGTTTAATTGTATATTTTTGCAAAGCACACAGGATATTCCCTTCGTTTAATCATGATGTTTTCAAGAGAAGGGGACGGGTAGACAGGCTGGGGTACTGTAAGACTTCGGATAATGTGAGTGAAGACAATGACTCTTTTATGGACGAGGGGAAAGTGAGGAGAGATAAGAAAACTTTCTCTTCCTACAGAAATGTAAGAACAGTTTTTATATTAAATGATAAGTAGCACTTTTATGGAAACAAAAATGACCTTGATCATAGATTTTTATAATATCTAATTTAGGTTACTTTAACTTCTATGTAAAAGCATGATATAATTTGCCATGTCAGAGGCAGAAAACACAGCAGAAAGTCAGTAATAAAGACCAGGTATTTTAGAGTTTCATATGTATTTTATACTTAAGTAAATATAATAACATTTAATATTTAAATTTAATGCTAATATTTATTTTTAGTGGAAACTAGAATACATGTACCTTTTTATTTTTGATTTAGAACCATAGTGTGTATAATCTACAAATTTTAATTTGAAATTTAAAAATAAAATGGCTGTTCCATTCAGCTGGCACCAGGTAAATATTAGGCCCTTGGAACCAAACCCTTCACAGATCAGTCTGGCTACTGCTTCCTGCAAGAGAGCGACCAGAGCTGAGATGGTGCCTAGGACAGTGGCCACAGCAGGGGAGGCAATAGTGCAGGGAAACAATAACACAGCAAGTTAAAAGGTACTGTAGTCAGACACAGGTGTCAGGTGGGGAGCTGTCAGCGAGCATGGGACTGTCTATTGCAGGTGCAGTGAACTCACAGGTGGGTCATGGGGCCATGGGTGGGGCACTGACAGCACGTGCTACTTGGAAAGGTCAACAGAGGAACATAAGGATTAAGACTATTTTAATTGAAGATATGGGGCGGGGGGAAGATGCTGAGAATGAGGACAGAATGAATGAAATAAACGAAAGGATGAGTACGATGAAAATTAATACAAAGAGAAATTGTTTATTGAGCTCCTTCTTCAAGAACATCATTCTCATAGGAGTTAAGGAGCCTTAATTCAAAGGAGAAAATCTAAGTGGAGAAAAGGAAGCGGTATCCTGGCGAGGGCTATAGAACACTGTAAACCTGACATTCCTCCATTGTTAAGATCACCATTTCTTGTACGTATATGTTTCGACCTACACCTAGTGTAGACTTGTAGGCATGTCTACCTTTCTCAAGTGCCTGAAGAGAAAGCTTGTGGAATAATCATGCTTAATATCCAAATCCAACCTGGCTGGCAACCTCAGTATGATTGTCAAAGGTATGTCCACACTGGGATGAAAAATTATCCCCGTAGTTTAGAAAAATTAACCCTCATTAGTTAATTAGATCTTTCAAATAATTCCCTATTAAGTCACCTAATTTCATGACTTAGAAATTTTTAAAAACTATTAATGAATTCTAAGTGGAAACCCTTGTTTAAACATGTATATACGTGCATAGTTGCTATTCTACTCCTTAATGACAAGTTTTATGTAAAACAAATTGTTAAAGCTTTAAATGAATTAATTATACACAATACCTTACTTTAACTTCCAGTAAGGTATTGTGTATAATTTATATGTACATTTTGGTGTAACTTCTGGGGAGTAGTCTAGAATCTCTATATTCTTATGCATGTGCATACAAAGAAAACCATTTGTTCTGAGCAAATATGAGAAATTAACTTTTAAAATGTGAAGCTAACAGTTTTTATATCATAGAAATTCTCCTGAAAAAAAGGCTCTTTGGAACTAATTAAATAAATATCAGAAATTAAATCTGAAAGTACCTGCTGGATCAGCTAAGGCAAGATTTCATTTATAAAAAGATTTAAATAGATAATTATTCCATTTTTTTAAGTTATAAGGGGCGGAAACTCATTGAAGTGTAGAGCCATACTCACCATGGACAATGATGATCCATCTTCAAAATACATCTAAAAAAAAAATATACACACAAAACTCAATACTCCATAAAAACTTAATCCCATTAAATTATAAAAAAAGAAATATAAAAGTTATTTCAAAGCAGTTGTGGCAAGTAAAATATTAAAAAATTATTTATTTATCCAAAAATTAAATAATAGCAAAAATCCTCATCTAAAATCAACACTGTATCCAATTTCAGTTATGATACAATTATAGAACTTTAAATTCAAAATATACATGCTTTAACATGCAAATCAAATATCTCATTTAAAAAAAACAAAGCAATATGTTAATATACAACTATTTTATGCTAAAGAAAGTACAAAATGTCAACAGATTCACCGAAAGTCTGGATAAAACTTTCCCTTTAATATCAATCCTTAAGTCAAGTAGTACTGTTCTTGTCGTTATACTAAGTATAACAACATCTGACTTTTGGGAAGTCAATTGAGTTATCTTCACAAAAATGGGAAAGTCACAGAAATATTTATTATATCAAACTAGACAAGTCTGAGGTGCTAAAACTCATGTGTTTCATTCATGTCAGCGTGTGCGAAAATGGGGGAAAAGAGACAACCGACCGTGGCCCTAACCCGCACTCACATTAATGCTAGTGATTGTGCCAGTACATTTCCTAAATAAAGGTCTGAGAAGCATGAACAAAGAGAAAAGGAAATAATCCAGAGAACAGTGAGAAAAGAAACATATTAAGAAAAAGACCACTAGCATGTAGACATTTTAGAAGAAAAAAGGTTTTCTTACTTATCGCAGACGGAACAGTGATGGCAGCGATCTGGTTTTATAAGTTGGCATCTGTCACAATATCGGATTGCTAGGAATAAAAATCTCCACTTAGCCTTAGATTTAGCAGTGAACTGAACAAGTAATTAAGTGATTTTTAGCATCTATCCAAATGTAAATTCTAAAAAGCACACCGGATTTCAATTTGGTAAAAATGAGACACTCGACTCTGTTTAAAATGCAAAAATGGAATGACTTGCCTACAGCCTCAGTTCTCTGGAGAGGCTTCCCCAAAATAGAGAATCTTTGGGGGAAATTTTTCTAAGGCATTCTCAATTGTCAGGGTTTACAGTAAGGCTCACAAAGGATGTAAATATATCCATTTCTATCCAAGTAAACAGAATGTCTCCTTCAATTACATCATTTCTTGTACTCTGCCAGGATAACTAGGTGAAGATACAACCACATTTTAGAAATTAGTGAGTAAACTCTATATGTTGCTCGAATTGGGAAAGATCTCACATCCTCTCTGTTGGATGAGATGAGATTAGAGGTGAGTAATGAGAAGTACTTCCAACAGAGAATTTCAATTATTATAACTGAAGTCCTAATTTTTTCTTCTCTAATACATATATCAAAGACAATTATGGATGACTGATTTGGAGAGGCCATTTCAGTCAACAGGCATCTTACAGGATGCAAGCAGGCTACAAAAATTATAGGAAAGCAGTTATTAAGTTGGCAATCCAGTAGGATCAGTAAAACCAAACTAATGAATTTAAAATTTGAAAAAAACACTTGCAATAAATAATTACCGAGGTTATGTTAGCTAATAGTATAATCTCTGAAAAAGGAAATAGTTGCTATAAACTAAGAATAAAATGAGCTTTTCTTAGATAACAAGGTCCAGATGGATTTGTTTTCAATGTTGAAATAAGTTCTTAATCATCAGGAATTGTAGAGATGGCTGAATTGGCCTTGTTGTTTATCTCTTGAGTGAAGAAGTCCCACAGGTATATTCACAGTGATATGCTGTAAGGTCTCACTGGCTCATGAAAATTATTAAAGTGTAAAGCAGTGTTGTCCAGAGAAATACTAGTTTAACATGAGCCACACGTGTACTTTTAAATTCTCTAGGAGCTACATTAAAAGAAGTAAAAAGCAACAGGGGAAATTAATTTTAATAATATATTTTATTTTACCTAATATAGCTAAAATATTATTTTAAGGTATAATCAATATAAAAATATTAATAACATTTTATGTTTTTTTCATACCAAGCTTTTGAAACCTGTTATGTATTTCACACTTACAGTTACATTTTAAGTGCTCAGTAGCTATAAGGGCCTAGCAGCTCCATAATGAGCAGTGTGGTCTAAAGTCACAAAATCTCCAGGAAACATTTGGTGGACAATGCTAGATTCTTTCCAGATGGTGATTATATATCTCTAAAGTGCACTGGGGCGGGGGGAAGCTTTCAAATTAAAGTGGACAATAACTCATAGCAAATCAAAACAACGTAAGAATAAGGTTTTGTTTTTGTCTTTTATAAGCAGAAATTTAGTCTTTTAATTAAAAAACACTCTGTGTGCCATATTATGTTCAACTAGAATTATCCCAGTGTAACTCAAAATGAACCAATTATTGTTTAAAAACTCCTAATGCTCAGGGGAGAATTTTATTTTAACAGTCTTGATTGAATTTTTTTGAGAATTTGTTCATATATTTCTTCCATAATTTAAAGCATTTTTGGTAAATATTGAAAAGAAAATGTTATCGAAATGCATGTACAATGCTGAACTAGTTACATCATCTCCAAGTGTTACCCTCTTAGTCAAAAATTACAAATTTTTTTGTGGGAAAGGATCAAGGGCAAGAGAGAGCTAAAAAAAGTAAACAGTCCTCAATAAAAATAAAAATTAAAAATAACATAATAAAGTTTGGAGAGCCCTGTAAGAAAGCAGATGATGGGTGGATAAGAAGAAAGCACGGGGCAAACAGAAGTGAGATGAGCAGTCTTCGTAATACCCTGCCTTACTATACTCACAGCCATGTCTGTTTTTGCTTGAATTTGTTCTCCGTGTACGGCAGTCGGTTTAAGCCAGGCAGCTGGCATTTTTCTTTTTTGGGTTTGGAGGAAGTACTGTGGATTTAAAATGAATGGTAAAGTCCTGAATTATATTACCACCCACTCTCCTCAATTCTCTGTAACGGGTATGAGCAACAACTGAACCTTTCAGTTGCTTTAGCCCACAGACTCTCCCATGGGGAAGAAGGAAGATATCCATAGAGCACAAGGGTCACAGAGGGGTGTGGCTGAAGGGGGGAATAAAAAAGACGCTCTCACATCCTTGCCTTGGTGCTACGGTGGCTGCTCCACTGAAATGTCCCTTCTGAATCATGCCTATCTTTCCATTTTACACATTGCAGAAGGGGATCAATCACACCAGAATTGTTATCTATTATTCTTTGTACAATTTAATTTAGACAATGCCTCTAATCAATTAATACTGGTTTTAGCAGGCATGTAGAATTTTTGCATCAAAAATATAAAGATTATATTAGGAAATTCAGATTCTATTCCAGACTGTCACACATAATGGGAATAATAAGTTCATCTCGGGAACAGACATATAATACCTGAAGATGACTTTTAAATGCAAAGTATAATTGTTATTATTAATGAAAATTAATATTTGTTCTGGTATAACTTATGCTTCCCCCTTTCTCTTAATTCTGTGTGTCAAGGGGTATAGGAGAAAAGCACTGCACTAGAAATGAGGAGACTAGGTTTTTGCACCTGGTACTGTCACTGTCATTAACTAGTTTTGGAAACTCGTGCAGTTTATTTTTAAGGGGCTTAAGTTTCCTCAATATTTGTTTAGGTTTATATAGGATAAGTATACATACATTTATACAGAAGCACATCTCTGTCTTTGTGGGATAGAACCAGTAGCATAATATTAAATCAGAGAATTACCACTTGCTCATTGAAACGCGGTGGAAACAAAGAGAAAAAATATTGTGTGTAAGACTAGGAGTTAGATTCAATTATGATTCCAAAGTGAGTTAGAAACAGATATAAATAATATAAATATAGTAATGAGATATTTTACATGCTTCGTTTTTCATATTAAACTTTGAAATAAGTTGTGTATTTTACGCTTAAAGCACATCTCAATTTGGACTCGCCACGTTTTAAGCACGCAGTAGCTATGTGGGCTGATGGCCACCAAAATGGACAGCGCAGGTCTAAATTCACAAAGTTTCTGGATAAGTCTTGGTGGGCAAGTATCAATAGTCTATGTGTGTTAGTTTTTAAGATAATTCTTTAATTAGATAGCTGTTAAATTATCTTAAAAATCTGATCCCAGTAAAAGACTGAGTTGCATTTGTTTAAAAAAATTACCATACATTTTTAAAGATGAAGAATTGTACCAATACCTAAATTGTTTTATATAATTTTTTAAATTGCTGTTTTAAATGTATGCAAAATTATTAATGTTCTGTTCATTATAGATAGTGCTCCCTTAAATTAAACTGAATATGAGTAGGAAGGTCTATAGATTAAAACTTTAAAAAAAATGAATACTACTACAAACTAAGATTTCAGTAGTTCTAACATCTTCACTGAGTCACAATTAAGTAGGCAGAATAGAAGTAAAGTCAGTTGTGATTTGGTTGAGATCTCTGTGCCGCACTGTTATTCACGTTTCCATTCTGTTTTATAGAAGTGTGCCGTAAAAGTTTAATTGTGCATTAAATGTTTAATAGTAATCCAAGATATAACCATGTTTTGCAATGAGTGTTTGACAGTTTCATGTATATATGCACTCTAACAGTCACCACAAGCTATTGTGCCAAAACATTCATTATCGACGTCTACCTCCAGACATGGTCCTGGTATAGATGGGAAGATCTTTGGCTGCTCGCCTAAGAACTTCCTGATGGGCTTCTCCCCTTGGCTCTCTCTCCAATAATTCTTTCTCTGCATAAGAGAGATGGAACTGTGGAACGGATTTAAATTTTAATTAGTATTTTCAAAGAAATGGTAGCATATTGATCCAGAAAAGACATTTATAAAATATTAATGGTATATAGTATATACATTCAGAAAGATAATAGAGTTTGAAATCTGAGCAACTCTGTTAACCTCACGGGTTATTAGTTTATGTATCTAGAAAAGGAACTAATAATAATAATAATACTCATTTCCTTAGATATTTGTGAAACTCTTAGGCTAATTTTCTAATTGATCAGCAGCCAGAAACCCTTGCTGTAAATGCATATATGTATGTAAAAATGCTTTATCAACTATAGAGTTCTATCTAAATATTAGTATATTAATAAGTAAAATGGAAGAATAAACAAATTTGGCTCAATGGATAAATTTTTTAATTGGATGTTAGTAACAAAAATAGAAACAAATCTTTCAAGCACGTTTTCTCACCCAAGTAGGTTTTAACTCAGGGATAATTATTACATGAATTCTCCTCTAACACTCAAAAGAACTAATTACTAATTTTACTTCTTATACTGCCAATTAAAAAATACTTGAGAAAAATTGGTTTGGACTCCAATATGATAATCATAAAAAAAGTTTTAAAAGTCTGTTTGAACTCCTATGAAAGTCTGTTTGAATTTCCTTTCTGGCACTGTAAGATGCTCTTGGCTCATCTTGAATATGTCCAGTCCTGGTTTTAGGTATTGGCATTTTCTCCAAGGAGCCGTCCTTCCCATTACTGGAGATTAGTATCAGAAATCAAGATCTGGGCTCCAATATAGTTTTCAGATCAAAGGAAAGTACAATTTTAAAAGGATATACAAATTAAGAAAAAAACTACAATCTAATAACAAGCAGAAAACTCACAGAATTATAAGCTCTTTTTGTTAGTTGTTGTTCACTGAGGATAAAAATAAACATATAATCTCACAAGTATCTGCAATGCACAAATTAAAACAACTTTTTTTGCCTATGAATTTGGCAACAATTTTCTTAATAATAACATGCAATGCCAAGGGTCTGATAAAACTGGAAGCATTGTATGTAAATCGTCAGTCCTTTTGGGAAACAATTTGGCAAGTGTCTTAAACTTTCTTGATCTTGTAATTTTACTTCTGAGAATTTATTTTAAGGAAATAATCCAAAATATGGGTAAAGTTCTATGTATAAACATGTTAACATTCATTTATAATATGAAAAGTTGGGATCAGCCTAAAAATCCAAGCTGGGATGCAATTTAGTAAATTTTTACAAATTTCAGTGAGAATATTATGCTGTTATTAGAAGTGAAAATAAGCCAATGATGGACTATTATGTGAAAAAATTTAACTAGAAAGAAATTCAGAATGTAAACTATGTGAACTAGTTGTGTGGCATGTTTTTTCCTTTTCCTTTTTGCCTAGGCTCCATTTTCTAAATATAATTTAGTATAGTGCTTTTATATTGAGAGAAATATTTAACAATCTTGCTATGAAAATATAAATTTGAATTAATGTGTTCTGGATTTCTTACATTCTCTCAAAGTGTGAGAAAATATTAACATTATTTTCTCATGTTACCTCTTCTACTTTTTTAGTCCCATTTTTCAAAGATTTTTAGCACATGAGAACCCTTTATTGTCACTTTAAGTCTAGGACTCTTATTTTACCAGGGAGGGGTTTTTGGCTGCTGATCGATTAGAAAATTAGCCCAAGATCTATTAATTTTATTAACAGAATAACCTAAGATTCTTAACCATCAATCAAGGGCTCTTTCTTTCATAACAATGGTCTCCAAAATCTTTTGATTATGTATTCCTATCAGTTAAAAATAATTTAAGATTACACCACCTATATATATATTTATATGATGTGCTATTAACTAATATGTAATGCACTATATATGTGAAACTTAAAAAATAGAGAAACATTCAAAGAATAACATATAAATAGAAATTCTGCTAATTTTTCTCCATGCTCCAATTGATTTCAATTGATGTCCTGGGCACGCCCACCTACTGTGGTGTTCACTCTCCATGCTAGAGCATGGTATAGTGACAGGAGTGCAGCCTTGATGGTCAAAAGGGCTTTAGTTTAAATAGTAGCACGAGATGTGCCACACAGTCATATGAATCAAATAAGGTAAATATGTCTTTTGTGGAAAAATCATCCAACAAAGCCTGGTATAGCTATAAATTCACTATCATTAATCTCGACTGGTCCCCCAACAGTGTGTTATTTCTTCTGTGTTTTGTATCATTTCATTTTCCACTCTATCCAACAACTATTTCAAACTTCTCTGTTCTCCCAAACCTCAGACAACCTAATTCTCTCACCATTCTTAGTTGATCATCTCACACATAATTTTAGGGAGAAATTAGAAGTCACTTCTACTTCCTGCCAAAGCTATAAATATAAACTCGCATCTGTACACATAACTTCCTCCCTATTTTCAATCATTTATCAAATATTTATTGAGTACCTTTTCTTGGTGAGATCCTGCCCAAGGTACTAGCAATGGATTAGTGAACAAAACAGATAAAATTCATGTTATTTTAGAGCTTATATTCTAAGGATGGTATAAAAAATGAATATGTAATGTGTTATTATAGAGTAGTATGGTATGGATAAAAAAATAGCAAGGTACAGTTTATAGAAAAACTCTAGGGGTAGGGTTTTGCTAATTTAGACAGAGTGATCATAGAAAAACTTGAAAATAGGGCACCACTTGAACAGAGACATGAAGATAGGAAGACAGTGAGAGACTAGGTCACACAGAAGAGTATTCCGGGTCAAGGAGAAATAGCAGGTTTCAAGGCCCCTGAGGAAGAAAACACTTAGCATGTCGATGGAACAGCAAGGAAGCCATTGTGATGGAAGACACATTAAAGAGAAGAATGTTGGGCCAGACCATCTGCGGCCTTTTAGGCTAGAGTAGGGATCTATGTTTTCATTCTGAGTGGGCTCAGATATCACAAGAAAGTTCTGAGGAGAAGAATAATATGATATCTTGTTTTTGAAAGAACCGTTCTGGCTACTGTGTTGAAAATACGCAGAAGAGGGAAAGTATGAAAGCAAGGAAATTTATCAAAAGGGATGGAACTCTACAAGCAAGAGATGATGGTGGACTGGACCAAGGTGGAGGCAATGGAGCAGGTATGAGCTCATATTGTGAGTACTCTAAGGGTACGGCTTACAGAATTTGCTAACTGACTAGATATGGAGGTCTGAGAGAAAAAGCGTAGCAAAGATCACTCCAAGGTTTTGTTTTGACCTGAATAAATGGAAGAATGGAGTTGCCATTATTGAGACAAGAAAACTTTAGAAATAGAAGAATTGGGGGAGTAGGTGGAAAATCAGAAGTTTGTTTTCAGGTATGTTGAATTTGAAATTCCTATTAGAAATGTAATTAAGAACTATTAGAGTGTAAAGTGGGAAGTCAGAAATTTAGACAAGAGTCATTGTTGCCAGACCAGGGAGACTGGCCTTCACCCTGTGAAATACGTGGAGTCACAGAGTAGATACAGTAGCGTGAAAGTATTAAATTTGTTTTTAGATGGATCACTGCAGCTTCAGGTGGATGATGAATTCTTACAGAGTTCTGAGAAGGAAATGTAGGCAAGACTGAAAACAGTGACACCATATAGGAGAAGATTACAATGTCTCAGACAAAATAGGTGATCAAAACCCTGAATTAAGTCAATAATAATAAAGGAAGGGGGAGAGGAAGGGAGGGAGGGAAGAAGGGAGGGAGGGAAGAACAACAAGAAGAAGAAAAAAGGTAGGAAGGTAAGAGAGAGGAAGGGAGAGAGAAGGAGCTGGAACTAAAACAAAACTATTAGGACGTGAAAACATCAGCAGAATCGAGATATTGGCAGAGGGGTGAGGAAGCGGAGGATTCAAGCATGGCTGCCAAGCTTCTGTATTGAATGATGAGGTGAATGTCAGTGGCATTAATTGGTATAAGAAACGGATGAATCATGGTTTGGTGAAGAAGAGAGTGATGAGTTCAGTTTTTGACGTGTTGAATTTGCGGTGTCAGTGGAATGATCAAGAAGCTATGTTTGGCAGGAAAATATATGTTTGAAATTCATAGGAGGGGTCAGAGCTAGAAATATATTTGGAAATTTTTAACACAGAGGTCATAGGTAAGCCATCAGAATGGATGAGATCGCCTATGATAAAAGTCAGCATTTTCCCTCAAACCTACAAATAAGTCCAGGATGGGGGTAAGAGAAATGATAGAAAAGAAGTAAACATGATAGGAAAGAAGAAAAAAGAAGTAGGAAAAGAAAAATAAGTAGACAGTAGAAGAAAAAAAGACTACATCTAACTCATTCTAGGCCAAGCATACCATTAATTCTGTGCAAATATCTGTGGTTTTGTTTTTAATATTCTTTCCTAGGTCATATAGCATATTTATTAGCCTTTCTGACCAGTTTCATTTCAAACAGATTATTTCAGGAAACAATTTATAGTGATGCCTAGACTTTTTTTTTAAGGTTAACCTACTAAAATTACACTATTATTACTGGAACAAAGTGTATTTCTATTCAACATATGTGTACTGGATTAAATGGCAAGGAAATAAAAATGAGTAAGACACAGCACTTTGGTCCAAAAATATTTAACTAAGATTAAAGACCTAGAAACAAATAGCCAAAATGATCTTTTCAAAATGTATATCTGATCATATCGCTTTACTTAAAAGCTTCTGTGGCTTAGACTGCTAGTTGACTCCTAACATATACTCTTTACTTCTCCTAATCTGGTTCAGAAGACCATTCAGAATGAAGACTATACTCCCAGCCTTTTGTGCAAATATAAACGGCCATATGACTAAGTTCTAAATGTAACCGGGAATGGCATCAGCAACTCCAAAAAGTGTCCTTAAAGGGAAGAATATTTACTTCTACTTTTTCCTATTTTTTCCAGCTTGTTGGCTGAAATGCAGACATGGAACCAGAGCAGATATCTTAAGCCAAAAGGTGACCTTGGGAAGGGAGGCTACACATGTCAGAGGAACAAAATAGAAGGAGCCTGGGTAACTGGCAGCTGTGGACTAGCTACAGACTTTGAATGGAGACATTCGTTAACTCATTACTTTGTTGTTGTTTGGTGGCTAACAGCTAACTAATAAACCATTAGTATGATAATTATAATAGGAGCACGTCTACTTTTAGCTCTATCTATCATCTATCTATTTATCTATCTATCTATGTGTCTATCATCCATCCATCCATCTATCCATCCATCCTAATGTCTAATTCTAAAGTAGAAATGGAACACTTAACAGATGTAATATTGGAAATATAATACTCATCTGGTATACAAATAATATTTACCAAATGAAAATTCAAATGTTTACTAACAGACACATTAATATTAAAAAATCACTACACTCAGTAAGTTTGCAGAATTAGTAAGAAGACATAAAATTCATTCTTCAGATATCAATATTATTGATTTCCATCTTTAGGATAACTTTGCTAATATTTTAACTTACTTCTTTTGAAGGATTCATTGGTAATGTAAAGATAGTTTTCCAATATGACCAGACAAACATTGCAAAAAGTAGATGATAAGCAATCAGGCACACAACTAAAGTGAGAGAAACATAATTATCACTGTAATATGCAAATACATATTAAAGTCATGGTATTCACAAAAGATCTGATTGTTCTAAAATAACAAAATTACCAGTTATAATAAATTAATTCTATTTTGAATTTTTATTATTTATTAATTTTTATTATAAATAAGTTCATTTATGTTATACCAGAATAAGCACAACTCAATGAATAAGATTTTATACTTAAAGCCAAGAGTTAAAAAAAAAAATTCCCTAGTAATACATAATCAGATCTATACCCTTGATTAGAAGCCTCTCGCCCACAGACAGGCCTATCTGTTGGCAAACGGCTCACAGGGACCTTTTGTAAACTCTAAAAGTAGGAAGCTATGCCTGCAACTCCAAATAATAAACGTAGCATTAAAGAAATGTCAAAACATTCAGAATTTATGAACTTTGCTTCACAAAAAAAATAGCAAAAGCAGTTCCTCCATGAGAAGCTGTTTGCTTACTTACTTGTTTAGCTAAAGTCAAATGTAGTGGCCCTCACTGTTTTAATGACAACATATCTAAACAGAGACCATCTGGACAAAGAGAGATCTCTTCTAATAGAAGTTAAATGTCTTACTTATTACATGGGACAATTATTAAGAAAAGCATTCTGATGCTTTTTTCAGGTAATGCATATAAACACACTTTGTGTGGTGTTTTATTCTTGAAGTATTATGCAAATATAAAATATTAATTTTGTATACAGTGATGATTAATTATGGAATACAGATTAATATATAATAATTCTGTAAGATATAGTTGAGTAAAATATGCTAATTAAAATATGCTAGTTTATTTGATATTTTAAAACTTTAATAGTAAGTTTAACTTTTTAAAAGAATGATGGCACACATATTTATAGAATCATTAAAAAATTATAATATCCAATAAGGCACTTAAATCAGTGTGAGATAACTAGAACTGATTATATGTTCCATGGATTATATAAGTGACACAAGTACAGGGTAATACTCTGAGTCGAAACAGGAAATTGTTAATATTCCCGTATCTTGAAGCCAGAAGAACCTTTGGCACAATTACTGCCATTTCAGGGAAGAGTCCTTTGCCAAGTGTCTGACATAATTCAGTCTGGGGACTAAGGGAATGAGATGCCTTTAACCCCATCCTGTTTCCACATTCTCAAAGAATAATTTATTAATCCCAACCAAACCTAAGTGAATTCTAGTTGTTATTTCAAACCATTTTAAGATTTTTATCTGAAACAATAATATATTTTACCTTGTTCTCCAATGTTTTCCATGGACACTATAAAATAAATAGGAAAAAAAGAGACAGGAAATAAGTTATATGATGCTTATGAGGCTTGACAGAGACATAGGGCACTAGAGTACGTTAATAATTTGACTTCCCTTCAAACCAACATTCTCTAAATATTTGTTCAACTTTGGTTAGAGCAGAGGTGAGAACTGTGGGAGAGAGTGTGGAGAAGACTAGTGACTACATCCAGCCATGCCTCTACTGGCATTTTAACCCTGGGTCTCACACAGAACAAAACCTGTCCAGCACCCCACTGTGGGTCTTACTCCTGTACTATTGATTGGTTTCTCTGTTTTCCTTCCAACAACAGAGTTGAGATAAAAGCAGTGTTCTCCAAGTCATTCCATTTCCAGAGACATTTATTGCTGTTTATAAGCTGGTAACCACCTAGTTTAGCTCTCCAAAAAGAAAAAAAAAAAAAACATGTTGGGTCCATGACTCACATTCTTCAAATTTCTCTAAGGGCAAATTCTTATTGCCCAATGACTATAAATTGTTCTCCACTGTATAATGATGGGCCCAAGAATGCGCCTGAGAAATTGCCATCTCTTAATGGCCATTGTAAATATCCCAAGGTGACAGATAGATTAGGACAGAGACACAGATCTACAACAAGCTGGGACAAGAAACTGAATTTAGCAACCGAGGCGGTTTTCTTAGCTTCTGTATCGTCTCCTTGTTTTGTTTCTCATTTGGTCTTTTCCTGCACTTGTACTCAAGCCTTTTAAAAGTTTTGGCCTATCTCAGTTGTACCGAAAGAAGATTTGACTTTGGTTACTTATGTATTTCTATTCCTATTTGGCTTTTTAAAGGGGTACAGTATTCCAGGCCTTCGTCCTGTAATATATAATTTTATTACCTTAATAAGTACTGGACTCAGAGGGTAATGCTGTGAGAGATTTTTAAGGTTAACTGATCCAACCAATCTCCTTCCCAAGAGAGTTATTTAGTGAAAGTCAGTTTAGGCATTTCTAGAGCCAGTAGGAGCCCATAGTTTTGGAGAGTAGCCCATTCCAGTACTGGATTGCTCTAAGAATGATTATAACATTATTGTGTGCGAAATTAGCCCTTTTGTGGCTTCTACCTATGGTATTAAGGCTTCCAACTTGTAGTGATAAACAGAAAATCTAAATGACATACTTAAAAGTTGTTGCATGCCCCTTAAAAATGTTCTCTTTTAGCTCAAATAATACATGATTTCCAGATCTCTCACCAACCCTGATGTAGCTCCTTTAAATGTTTCCTAGGTTCTCAATTTCCTTTAACACTTCCAATCACCAGAATGGGGATGGCAGACACAGATGATCATTGACTTACCAATGGCCTGTTTCACAAGTCTGCTTATAAATCAGAGGCTGGAGAGTCAGAGGTCACTTTCTCACAGAAGCCCTGCAGTGGTTAATCTGAGGACATAGGAAGGGCCCTAGGCACGTGTGTCTTTATATCTGACCCTACCACTCCCTTTATGCATTTCTCTCTAGGTACGACTTTCCAGTCTTCAAAAATGCTCCAAAATTGACTACAGCTCTTCTGTGGATCAAAATTTCCAATACTTCAGTGGAGCTAAACTAAGGAAATAGAAAAGAAATTTGACTCCATCTGTACATTTATGTATGAATGACCCTTAATGACCATTCCAGAGGTGGTTTTTTTAAAAAAAAAAACCCATGCTAACCCATGACTCTAGCTGGCAGAAATAAAAAAAAAATAAAAATAAAAATAAAACAAAATGAAATTTAAAAAAGAAAAAATACAGTTATATGAATTGACAATCTTTTCGACCTGGACCACTACTATATTGGCTAGATATGCATTTAAAGACACCATTTTTAAAGCTATTACTTTTCTTCACAGCTTGTTTTTCCCTAAACATACTTCAAAATCCATAGATCTTCTATTTTTTTTCAGTTAAACAAGTTATATGCATCTACATGAATGCATGCTTATGGTAAATAATTCCAATAACATATAGAGAGTGAAATGTGAAACTTCAAAAAGGGTGTATCAATTACACTCCCACAAAGATTGTGAGCCTATCTAATAACCTTTAAAAGTAAAACTAATCTTCAACTTTTGTCACTATCTTAGGCCAACATAAAAATCACTGTTTTAGTATAGATTTCTCTGATTACTGGTGAAGTTTAGCATTATTTTTAAAATAAAATGATTGGTTTTTCCCATTTCCTCTGAGCAAATCACCACTTTCCCATTAGTCTACGTCTCTTTTACTTACTGAGAGCCCTTTTATATATTCTGGACAGCAATCCCATTTCTGTTATATATGTTGCAAGTAAAGTTGTGTATTACCACTTTCAAATGATTTAATTAATACTAACAAAATTTCATGCCTTATCATTGATTAAATAACAGTATCAAAATTTTCAAATTGACCTATTTCACTCACAGATATATGGTCTCTACGTTTGCTTTATGATACCGAGGGCATTCATGTTCTCTCACCATGTATACCGAAGTAGCTCAGTGATTCATCTTATTCTCGGTTTAGTGGAAGAGTTGTCAATTTCAACATTTCCTTTCTCATTATAAAAACACACTGAATACAATATTATTTTTGAGTGAAATATTTTTGTTCTTAAATGACCGTTTAAGAAAAGTTTACAATTTACTCTTGGAAATAAGAGCACCGTATTATCACACTAAGATATTTATTACTTGTATATGTGGTGATCATCGAAATACGTAAAATAGTAACACCATAGGTCACTATTTAATTTTCGTTTCAAAAATTTATCTTGGATTGGCCTAATTTCTTTCCAGTCCAAGGCCTACAATGATATTTTGCTTTAAAGATTCCTAACTTTCCAATACACCTCCAGAACTTAAAACTCTTCCCTGGTTAGTTTCAAGACAGCTAGAAAACAAAGGACTCTGACTTGTTAAAAGAGCCTAAGTAATGATAGCACTTTCTCGGCTCTGCGGTGTACAGGAAGAGAGGAAGTGGGAATGGTAAATTATTACCTGAGTTACCAAGGATGTTCCCGTTTGCCAAGAGCAAATGAAGGCCTTTAAGGATTACATCTTGGAATCTGGAGCCGTCATAGATACTCCAAGGCTGGTAATTTAGGCTGCCAGTTCTGTTTTCTGGCTACCCTTTCTGCCTACCCGCTCTTTGCTCATTAATCATTCTTCTAAGAGACAGAGTGGGACATTAGAGAAAAGGCTAAATTCGTTTAGAATGGTTAAGAAGTGATACTTTTTGTTGTAGCATTGATGTTTAAGAAATCCTTGTGTCAAAATAAAACAGGTAACACTGAAGTTGAAGAGGGAGACTGGGAGCCAAAGTAATAACCTTAACACACAAAAGGGTGACAAACTGCTACTTGCTCCAATTTGGCTTTAATGAAATGTCCCTAAAAAATGTATACTCTCCCCTTATCTATTTTGCATGAATTATCAAGCAATCATTTAGTCCAGGGGTCGGTAAACTACAGACCTGGGTCCAAATACAGACAGCCACCCGTTTCTGTAAATAAATTTTATTGGCACAGACACACCCATTTTTTTACATGGCTATTTTTGTGCTATAATGGCAGAGTTGGGTAGACCCAGGGGGGACTTGGTGTTGCAGTCCCAGGTCCCAAGGCAGTCTCAGAGTCTATTGATTTAAATGTTAATCACATATTAAAAAAATACCTTTGCACTAACATCTAGATTGGTGTTTAATGAAATAACTGGCCACCATAGCCAAGTTGACAGAAAATATTAATCATCAGACCCTGAATCTATAATTTTATTCTGAAAATCTTCTACTAAAAGGATATGTATTGATCTTTTGTATCAGTTCTCAAGACAAGTTTGTTATTTATGACAAGTTGGAATTATATCTTGCAAATTAGCTACAGTACATCTTTGAGTATCTGCTAGAGGGGAACCTAATAAAATCCTTTGTCATACTCTAAAAACCTGACTACAAATAATCCTATCCAAATTAACTTTATTTAGACATTCATATAATTGCTAAAGATGTTATCAAACCCTATTCTCTAAAAATATTAGAGCTGATTTAGTCTAGATTGATTTAAATTCAATCTTGATTAAAAGTGTGTGGGGGGGAGGAATCATCTCAAAGATTATTCCAGTTCTATATTTTTACCAATTAATTTTTTTAAATTTGGCTTTGGTGGTTATATATTAAGAGTTTATTGTCAAAATTGTATTTATTGTTAAGTAGGAGATCAGTAAACAGTTTGTAACTTAAAACTAGTTCAACTTTTAGTCATGAGTACATCCAAAATCAAATATACTAAAAAACATACTAAAAAAAGGTACTAAAATATGCCTTCACACTAGATGAATATGTACTTTCCCCCCTTAAATTAGCAAGGAACAGTTACATAATTGTTGCTAGAACAATTTGGTACTTTCATTGCAAATATATATTGCTGTGATCTTTTTACTTCTCTTAAACTGAATTTTCTTTTTCTTGCCTTCAAATTCAAACTCTCCCTTTTGGAGTAATAATGTACCTATACTGCATATATACAGCAACTCCTCTATATAAAATCACTATGCTATTTTCAAATTCAGTCTGACGCAGATACATCTTAGCCCCATACAGTCAGTCTGTAATGAAGAACACCAGAAATAAAGATGTGATTCTAATAAATGAATCTTAAGTTACAGCCAAGCTCTATTTTTTTCCTACTTATCTTTAACTCATTTACTGAAAAACATTCACTAACTATACTTACACTGAAGATAAAATGGTAAATAAGATGCTGTTCCTGTGCTCAAAAAGCTTAAAGTTTATGAGATCATTTTAATTAGAAGTTAAAATTAACTGAAAAAACAAGGACATAATTATTAAAAGTTTTTCAATTAATCACAGAAGCAGCTCCAAAAATTAAGACAAAAATGATAGTAGTAGTACAAATATGCTTGAATACCTCCTGTGTTAATAAAATCTCTCCTTGACCTAATGTTCTAGCTGTCATCCCATTTTTCTGGCCCTTTCACAGGAAATCTCT